GGAGGATCAGTCAGACAAAGAAATGAGACTACAGACGCAGAGGTCAGGGCACAGACAGTTACAGATGCTGCGTCAGGGCCCTGAAGATGGAAGGAGGGGCCGTGGGCCAAGGAATGCAGGTGGCTTCTGCAGGCCAGAGGAGGCGGGAAACAGCTGTCCCTGGAGTTTCCAGGAGCATCGCTGCGCTGCCCTCACCTTGATTTTAGGATTCCTAATCTCCAGAAATGTAAGGTGATAGATCTGTGCTGTCCTAAGCCCCTGGGGTTGTGATCATTCATTTACAGCAGTTACATTAACTTACATGGTGCCCTTCACCTGGAGAACTGGGCAGCCCCGCCAACGTGCCAGGAGAGGGTCATACTGCACTTGCAAGGGAGTGTTAAAAGGCCCATTCCAAGAAGCCCCTGGCACCGAAGGCCACAGCTGGTGGTGGTCCTCCATTTTCTTGGCTCTCCTGGGAGGTTACTTGGTGATCTGTACAGAGGAGGGGCTGGAAGAGGGACCTGAAACCAGGGAGTTCTGTGCCTGGGGCAGGTCTCCAAACCTGGTCCATGTGGTGTGTTTGGTGCTTTGTGCACTGAACCACTCTTGGCAAACCCCACCATGGCCAGGCAAAAGTCTGCCCAGCTACCAGCAGGAGGGTGGGCCGGAGCGAGCAGAGCTAAGCTGGAGGGGGCCGGAGGAAGACCCCTCCCCAGGGAGCTGGTACAACTTCCAGGGCAGCCTCTGTCCTCCCCCTTGGCTGCCAGGATGATGACTTTAAGCAGTGACTTCTCATGGCTCTCACTTGAGCGAAGCCCATCTGTGGGTAAGGCTGTCTGTCTGTCGGCCTGTCTGCCTGGCTCCTTCTCTCCATGGCCAGGCAGCTTGGGAAGGATTAGTCTGATGAGATGATAAATACCAGCCTTGGTCACCACGACCCAAGGGCACACGGCCAGCTGAGTCACACGATGCAGCGGTTCAGAGAGAGCCGCGGAGTTCCATCTGACCTCACTGTGGAAACGGGGCCAGGCGTTACGTCACGCAGGGCATGGAAGAGCATGCTCCACTCCAGAGCTCCGAGGGCTGCGTGTGCTCTGGCCACGGAATGCTCCTTGGAAGGGAGCACAGGACGGCCCTTGTAACTCAAGAAGGGAGATTACTGACTGCACAGGGCCGGGGCAGATGGCCGTGGGTGATGCTGGAGGCCAGGAGGCTTGGGCCTGCAGCAGCCGCCACAGTCTCAAAGTGACCCTCCGCGCCAAAAAGGTGTCTGGAGTCACTGAACCACTCAGAGCCCTATGGCCATGTGGCACGGTATGGCGAGTGCCTCTCAGTGCTTGCCATTACAACGAGGGTGCCCACCCTTGTGTGGAGAACCTCAGGGCTGCCCACGAAGGGGCCAGCTGAAGGCGCTCAGGGTCCAAGGATGAAGCACCGAGGCCAGAAACTGCAGGCCCCATTCCGCCTGCACGAGCAGGTCCATGAGTGAGGGTCGCCGTGTCCAGCCTGCTCTTTCTTCAGCCTCAGAAGTGCCAAGTGCAGAGGGGCGTATCGGCTGGCCGGGGCATCGGGCTCCATGGGGACCCAGCTCCTGCAGACCTCCGTGGCTGGTCACTGCTTCCACACATCACATTGAAAATCTTCTGTGCTTCGTCACCAGTTTCGGCTCCAGGTTACTTCCCTCATCACCCCTGAAACCAGAACCTCACAGAGGCGCCCGACAGAGATCTGGGTCAGTGTCCCTCCTGCTAGAGCTGCTGTCTGAGCATGCTTGGCTTGTGGCGTGAGCCTGGCTGACCACAGTAGCCTTGCCATCACTGGGGCCTCTGGCCAGGACTGAGGTCATCTCTGGCCAATGGGAGGAGGGAGCTCGCAAGGCGAGGGAGAATTACAAGATGCTGAGAAAACCTCCACTTAGGATTCTCAGCTGGAATTCTGAGCTGGAGACAGGCAGCAAAACCCAAATGGCAAACCAGGGCCGAGGTGCCTGGGCCCTGCGGGGCCCTGGATCTGCACCCTGGGGTGGAGCAGTGTAGGGGACACAGGCAGGGTGCTGGCTCCACCGTGTCCATCCAGGCTCTGTTTCCTCTTAAAGCCTCAGTGGGACTGTAGACCAAGACCTCACTTGCTCCTTGGGGCGATTGTGCACCATGGGAGTCACACCTGCACACCGGGTCACCACGGTGGGGCTCCAGTTCCAGTCACGTGTCCCTAGGAAGCCGGCTTCCCACCCCAGAGCTTGAGCCCTTCCTGAGGGCTTATTGGAGGGTCAGAAGGGACAGATAGGCTAGTGCCCAGCTGAGGATGCCACTCTAGGATCTGCTGGACAGGGCACTGTGGCAGCCGTGTCCTGGCCACATGGGTGCCTTTTCCAGAACACACATCAAGCCCATCAGGCTGCCTTCATATCCAATGGCATCCCAGGCCCTCGCACTCCCGCCTCATGTCCCCCATTAGGGCCTGGTGCCCAGCCTCCCCGCTGCTGGCCCGTCCACATCACAGGCTCCCATCTGAGTGCTGCCTGTACTTCCTGGCCATAGACCCTCTGGAGCACCAGGTCCCCCTGGGGGCCCTCCAGATGCAGTGGCTCTCCCCTTGGCACCCTCAGACCTGGGCTGGCAGCCTTGTTAGGGCACGAAGCATCCCCACCATCTGAGTGGTGGTGAAAAGTTCTGTCTGTCCGTCTGTCCTACTCAGTACCTGTGGTGTCCTGGCGGACCCATCTCTGTCACCCCATGGAGCACACAGTAGGTGTTCATGCCTCTCTTGTTAGACTGCACTGAGCTCCTTGGGCGGTGGCCAGTTCGCCCACTTCATCTCAGCATGTTCCCAGCCCCTTCCCGGGGGGGCAGCTGTTCCCAACAGGATGGAATGGTTGTTTTGTGGGCGGTTCCTCCAGGAGCAAGGACTTAGGAGCAGACCACAATCCCCAACACCCAGTGTCAAGCTGGTGGCAGCCACCTACCTGGTCCCCAGAGTGTGACACACTGCTGCTCGTGGGTCTGGCAGATGCCATTGTAGCAGTAGCCATCCACCCCCTGACACGGGTGTCCGTCGTGCAGGTACACGTTGGCTGGGCAGTGAGGACTGGCTCCCGTGCAGAACTCCGGGAGGTCACAGGAGTTGCCGGAGCCTCGGCACGCGGTCCCCGCAGGCTTCAGCTGAAAGGAGAGGGTGGCTCAGTGCATGTACACAGAGGGCAGAGCAGAGCAAGGCCGTCTGAACACAGCCTGCGTGAAGGGGCAAGGACCTAGAGAGAAGATGCCTTTATAGCAGAGAGCACTCACAGCCCAGCCCTGGGCTCTGGGATTGACCTCTCTGCCATAAGGGGGTGGGGCAACCAAGAGCAATGCATTTTTAATTGCAGGCAAGCAATGAGCACACAAGCTGCTGGGTGGCACCTGTCACCTCGGGTCACTGGGCAGGTAGATGCTTCTCTGGCTGCCAGCACCCTCCCCAGGTTGAAGTTGACATCGGCATCCAAAGTGCTGGCATTTGTGGGCAAGTTGACATAAATGGTTCCAAGAGCATAATCTAAATGGCAATGTCACCTTGTCATGAAGTCATGGGACTAGCAACCTCCCTTTAGCACTTACTGGGGAGGGCTGGAGCGGTAAAAAGAGGGCGTGGTAAAAGGCATCAGATCGCCTCTGACCAATACCTCATCTGTTTGCAGTTGGGAAAATTAAGGCTCCGAGGGCCTTTTCTGAGGCTGCGCAGCCAAGGAACCCCCTGACCTGGGTGTGGTTTTCTGCCCACTCCTCAAAGACAACGAGGCAAGACTCCAGCCAACTTCTGGAAGGTCTAGGAATCTGAACGAACTTGTTCAAAGTTGTCAATGTGGACCACACTGGTAGTGCCACAAGACCCTCCCACCTCTTCCTCCCTGTGACCATCTTGATCCTCACCTGGTCGAGGCTCAGTCCCCTTCCCACCTTAGCAAGCCCCTTCTAGGCACCTCTCACCACCAGCAGCTGGGCCAGGGAGTGCCAGCTTCTCATAACATTCCCCACAGGCCAACGGCCACCAGGAAGGGTGTCTTAATGCTGAATGTAAAAGGTATAATACTTCTAACTGACCAGGCCCCAGCAGGGCAGCTCAGAGGGAGTTTCTTGTAAGTGGCCTGCCACGATCAACTGCTTAATTAACAAGAAGTACAACTCTACCCTTAGAATCAGGCTTCTATTCTGTGAGACATCAGCTGTGGGTAATGAGACAAGGGTCTGCCAAAGCAAATGCACTCAAAGGTCAAAGATGGCCAAGGCCCAAGGCTGCCACCCTGACTGTGCTGGACAGGGATGACATTAAGGTTGAGATATTGATGCAAAACCTCTGAAACAGCCCACATGGGTTCTGGCCCCACCTGCCAGATGTTCTTGGCATCAAGCAGATGGACTTAGCGTGCGTCTGGCAGGGGTATGAGTCTGATTCTCTGTGCACTGTTCTGTCATGGGGACAGGACCCCCATGTGCCACCAACGACACAAATGTCGAGTGCCAGTGCTTTGGTCCTACTAGTTTTCAGCTGGTATGTGAATAATCTATCCCAGATGATTAGCAATTAAAGTGTAACTTTCACCCGAAGCTTAGAAGATATTGAAAAATAAGAGGTGGCTAATATGCATTTACTTGAAAAGGAGTGAGTTCATACCGCACGAGTGCTGAAATCGTCCTGCCCTATTGCTTGCCCTGCATTGGATTGGATTTGAACCACATGCTCATCTGTGACCTTGGCGCCAACTGTCATTCTGCAGACTCACCTGACAGTCCTCGCAGCAGAGCCCGTGTGCGCACACAGCGTCTGGCTTCAGGGTGCAGGTGGTGGCGTTGCAGCAGCGATTTGTACATTCCTGGGGGCGGGGAATGGGATCTGTTTGACAGGGCCACACAGAGCAAAATCTCACACCAATGTCACACCCTAAAGGACTGCGAAAGAACCTGCTGCGGTCTAGCTTCCAACCTGCAAACCTGCCCGAGGGTTAGTGTCATCTGAAGAAAGCAAAGTTTTTGTTCTGTGTGGAACAGACTGGGTCTTCGAGCCCCTGGCAAAGTCAGGAGCACTCGGGGCCTTCAGGAGAGGTAAAGTGGCTGGGATAGGAAGGCAGGGTGGCCAGACAGACCAAGGCTGGGCAGCAGGGCCTTGGGCCTTCAGAGCGGTCTCCACGCAGGGCTCATTGAAATGAGCAGCAACAGGACCCTGGAGAACCAGGAAATTACTTATTCAAACACAGACAGACAGCCTTTGCTCCTCCAAAGTGAACGCTTTCGTGGGACTGGGGCTGCAGCTCAGTGGTAGAGAGCTTGCCTGGCATGTGTGAGGTCCAGCCACTGGCACCACAAAAACAAAACAGAGCAGAAACAGAACGCTTTCCTCTTGGATGAAGTCAGATCTCGAGTTTGAGCCCCAGTTCCCTGCAGTCAAGACAGGTGGATGTGGATGAGCCCCTTCCGGCACAGGTAGGCTGTTGGCTGAAGGTGCTCTGGGAGCCAGAACTGGACATCAGAACGGCTAAGAAGCCGGAAGGAGGGCTGGGGCCAAGCATACTGACTGTTGAGGGGTTTAAGCAGGTGGAATGCCAGGTGCCCTGCCCCCTCTGCAACAGAACCGAGAGAAGGGCTCCTTTACTGCCCTGTGCTTCATAAGAACCCATTTCCTTTCTGACAAAAGAGATATGAGGTTAACACCTTTAATTTAGTTCTCAAAAAGCCTGCATGCATTTAGCCCATTTATGAAGTCTGTGTAGAGCAGAGCATTCCAATGACTGAAAGACTGTACATTTTAGAAGAAAGTATCCTAAGATGGATCGATTCATAGAATCCTCAATACTGTTTAATTTATCAATGTTCTTTTTGTCAATGTACAATATGCTCTGATGAATTTATGGACTATTGGCTAGGGTGAAGCTAACTGTAGACAAGTTTAATAGTGTAATTGTTTACTCCTGAACACTATCTTTTATGAAAAAATTATCATTGGTATCATAAATGCAATTAAAAAATTTTGTCGGTAATCAAGATTTATGGTGAGCCTGGGTACCTGAACTATGTCCCATGTGAAACTCTATGAATTATGCTCTCATTTGGTGTTTACCATTTGCCCCTATCATACATACTTCCAAAGTTGTTAAATTTTAAATGTTTGAGAACTTTATAAACATCCGGAATGTGTAATATATACAATAAGATAGAACTGCCAACCAGAAGTCATAGCTATAACTTTCATGCCAGCAAGGGTTTCCAGCTCGTGGACTTACGATTATAAAAAAAAAAGTTTAGCAACTTGCTTGATTTTTTTCCAAAGAAGCTCATTAATTGCAATACCGATAGATGCCATCAAAGGGACAGCCACACTGTATTGCTTGTTGCGGTCTAAGTGGCTCAAATGGTGATGGATCAACCAAATGAGAGATGTCCTTAAAATTCTAAATGAAGCCAGCCATCCTATATCTGGGTTCCCAAGTCCTTTAAGAACCCTGCCCCCTCCCCAAATCACCAAAAATATAAGCAGCCGCTCAAATGGAAATAATGGAAATGCAGCCAAGTAGAATGTCTGACTTCAAAGGGGATTGATAATGTGAGAAAGATAACTAAGTTTAAGAGAGATTCGCAAGCTCCCGGCATGCTAGCGACTCTAAACAAGGAGATAAGGTTGCCTTCCCATCCTGCCGGCTGGAGGAGTGAGCAAGCCGTCAGGATTTCCTTCTGCGGATATGAATCCGACTCCCTGTACTGCAGGGCTGCGACAATCACTTGCCTTTTAACTACCCTGAATCCACTTCCTCTGCAGTACCATATTTCTCAGAAGAGACAAACTCTTCATGGGGTAATACATTTTTATTTTAGTACTGCATAGAGACGCAACAGAACCAATGAATACCAAGCCTCCAAAGAAGAAAGAATAATGGAGCCATTAGGAGGCCTCCCTCCGAACGGCCTAATTGTCATTCCACACAGTGGTGGCAGATGTGGATTCAGTCACAATGAACTGGGATACAACTGGAATGCATCTTCCTGAAATGAAACTGGGGGGAGGGGTGCCGTTTCTGGGAGTGGGGGCTCAGAGGCAAGGTCCAGCTTATGCCGTGTTGCCCACCCACGTGGCAACACACTGAGCCTTTCCGTGGGCCAGAGGATCCAGGAATACCTGCAGGGCCCAGGCTCTGGGGAGCAGGAGAGAGCTCAGGTAACAGGTCTGAAAGTCCAACAGACCGAGAGCTCTAATGAGACTCAAAGTCTCCGCCCGGGTGGGGCAGTTTGCAAACTGGAAATGGGCTGCCACACTGCTGGTTGCAGCTGGAGCTACAACCTGGAAAAGCAAATCATGCAAAATTTTAAAGAACAAACTAGCAAGTGGGGCAGAAGGCTCACTGTGACTTGGACAAATTTCTTGGAGGGGAGAACATTACAGGAAGGGAAGGAGAGATCTCTTTAAAACATCAAGAGCTCGCTTTACAAAATAAGGATCCCTAACCACAGAAACCCAAAGGTGGGAGTTACAGGCCAGTAGAACGTGGCTTGCCACAGGAGGAGTTTACAACCAGCTGTGATCTGGGGGGAGGGTAGGCACCCTGCCAAAGCTGCACCGCCCTTCATGGAGACAAAGCGGATCGGAAGAGAGTGGCCAGCAGGTGTCAGGTGACATGATGGTGGTGGTGACGGCAGCTACGGAGGTGGCAGCGGCTATAGGAGTTATTGGCGGGGTGCTGGTTAGTGGGGATGTTGGTCTGGTGATGGGGATGACTGCAGAGGTGGTGATGTTGGCCATGGTGGTGGTAGATGGAACAAAGGACGGCTAATGGAGCATTCCAAACCTGGGAGTTTATGGCTCCATGAAGAGCCACCATTAATAAACAATTACAAGGAGTTCAAATCAAAGACAAACCACTGTAAGTCAACATGGCCTCTCCTGAGAAATATGGGTAACTTAAGCTAATTACATTTCCTATTTAAGTCATTTTCAAGGCTCTTTCCCTGCGCATGCCCCATCCCAAGCTGGTTCTACGTTTTCCTTTGCTCATCTTAAGGAGTGTCTGCAACATGGTAATTAGGACTTGCTCCAACACAACAATCACTCCCGGTGCATCCCGAGCACAGTTAACCACCGCTGTGAACAAGCCGTTATCCTTAAGTTCCGAGTTTGACAAGGGCATGAAGGATGGCACAAAGCCACCTCCACAGGGTTGTAGAAACTGTCAGACCAAGACCAGTCCCCCCGGTATGGAAAACCCCAGAGGCGGGTCATGGCAAGCCTTCTCCTACCCACTGGTTGGGTGAGGGACACAGGGACATGCTGGATGCTTTGGAGTCTAAGCTCGGTTTTCCTTCCCTCCTGGTCCCCTTCAGAGCAAACTTCTGAGACACTTTAAATCCTTCTTAGCCCGTCTGCAAATTTAGCTGAGCTGGCCTTGCACCTGATGAACACTTTGGCTTGTCTACGCTCTCAGGGAGGGAGGGGACCCCACAGGCAGCTGCCTGCTACACAGACTCCTTTCTTTGATTGATTCTAAACACGACCTCCTCCATGCTTTATAGGGAGGTGCTACTGTGTCCCCCCTTTCCTTCTCAGGACTCTTCAGACATTAAAAAGTGGCTGCTAGACATTTTTTTTATGTTGATTATCTTGGGACCTATAGAAACAAGAAAATGTCCCGAGATTGACTGGCGTTAAATAATCCCTGGGCTGGATGGAAACACTCCCGCCTTCACTTATTGCTTCTGAGAGCTAACAAGGGCCAGCGCCAGGAGCCCTGGGAGCCTCAGGCCCTGCATGCAGAGGAGGCTGCGGCAGGATTTCAACTTGAGAGCAAACTCTTGGCTAAAGAGCTCTGCTTATTCAAATCCCCCTCTAGCAGCCTGCCCTACAAAGAGGGAGAAATGGTGCTTAGTGGCTCTTTGAAGCTACAATTCCAAGGCTTTCTTCTGGGTCAAACTCAAAGCTAAAAGCTTTTTTATTGTTCTTATCCTCACCTCACTAAAGGATACGGCTCCCTTCAACAGGGAAGATTCTCTATTTAAGTCAAGTGATACAACTTATTTTGTGCCATAGTTTAAATTCAAGAAAGCCACCCTAGCGCGTGGGGCTCATTGAAGGTGACTCTCCAGGACGTTTCCACCCCGAGTTTCCAGCACGTTCGCTCTGTTGCCCAGTTTCTCCAAGTTCTCACTTCCTGGCCCAGCGAGAACGAGAGGGAAGGTTCCGGAGACGCCCCCTTACCTCGGGCTCCCCGCAGTCACACTCCTCGCCTTCCTCCACGTATCCGTTCCCACACTTCTGCCCCCCAAAAGCCTGCTTGACCTCCGGCAGGTTGAAGAGGCACATCCCCATGCCCTTCTCCAGGCTGGCCTCCAGGTCCTTCCGGCTGCAGCTGCTGAACACCATGGGGAAGGGGAACCTGCGCGGGGGAGACCACAGTGAGCGGGGCGCCACGCCCTTCCGGCCTTCTCCTGGGCTGCTCAGGGCGACACCGCTCAGGTGTCTCGGTGAACAAAGGCCGGCTGAGGCATACAGGGTGAGAAGAGGACCTTCAGAGCATGCGACACCCGCCCCACCCCGTGCCAACGCCACCAACCAAGAAGTGCCCTGTCAAAACAGAAACGGTCCTTTGAAAGTTTTCAACCCAACAATGTCAGAGTCTCTCTACAGGCGTCAGTTCAGGCTGGAACCACGCAATGCAGAGCGAGTTCTCAGGATCTGGAGCTCGCCGAGAACTCCTTTGCATTTGTCCTTACTGGCAAATGCAAAGGACCGAAAGACACAAATGACTGTGCTTCTCAGGCCCAAGGATCCAGGGACACATGGTCCCTCTGTAAATCATGGCCGGCTGAGATTGGCACTCAGGCCTCCAGAGGTCGAATGGTTGGCTTCCCTGGCACCTACGTAGGAGGGTGAAGGCCGCCCATAGATGCAGCTCCTGCCTGTGCCTCACGTTTTCTGGGCAACGAGTGAGTGTGGCAGAGTTGGCCGACTTCCCAGCAAAGCTATGCACCCTTGGTCTAGAGAGGCCGCCCAGGCCCCTGGTACCTGGGTGGGCCGCGTGACCCATTCTTGGCAAGGGACACGAGAAGAAGTGGTGTGGGTCACTTTGGGTCTGTGGTGTTGAGGCAGGAGTGCTTTCCCTCTGGCCTCCTCTCCCTGCAGTTGAGATCAGGAGAGGCAGAGCCAGATCCGGCCCCAGGTCCTGGCTTACTGCAGGGAGGGCAGTGGCAGCCTGAGCCCCAGTGCCATTTGGAAGGGAAAGGCACCTCTCACCTGCAAGCCACTCGGCATTAGGGCTTGTTCCTGCGGCAGCTGGTGTTGTGGATGGGGTTCATGGTGGCCCTGGGGGTTTCTGTGCTCAAGCTTGGTCCCGGTGTGCTGATGTTGTGAGGTGGCCTCTAATGGCAATGGCCTGGTGGTAGGCAGTTAGGTCACCTGGGGATGCCGCCCTCAGAAGGGATTCATATGGTTTCTGAGGGACCCTGGTTAGTTCTTCCAAAAGTGAGATGTTGGGAAGAGAGCAACCTGGGCCCTGAATCCCACTTGCTTCCTCTTTCGCCATGTCATCTCTCCCTCTTGCACACATTTCTGTCATTGTGATGCCATCTACTGTGAGGCCCTCACCAGAGTGGAACACACGATGGCACCATGCCCTTGAACCTCCAGAGCTGCCATCTAAATAAAGCTCTTTTCTTTATAAAGTAACCAGCTTCACATGTTTTGTTTTGGCAACAGAACAGGCTGATTCAGTTACATGACACACAGCACGTCAATGCTGCTCTTTTACAAATGCATTTGTCCTTGACTTGAGGCAGCAAGGATGTTTCGAAAGGGGCAGGCATGCCAGAAACGCAGGTTTTACTACTTAGTGAGAGAGCAAGGCCTGCTCTCCAGGAAGCCCAGCCTTCTCTCCCCATGGAGACATTTACAGGATGATGCTGTAATTGGATCTCAATCAATTGGCCAAACCAACACAAGTGCTCTGCTTCCCCGAGGATGGCAGACTAGCCACCAAGTGATGACAGGGCATGGCAACTTCTCGAGATCCTGTTGATGCCCACAGCCGAACAGAGGACACTGCTCCAGCCCCATGTGCTTTCTATTTATCCCAGGCTTCAACCTGCAGAGTGTGATTCTAATCCACAGATAAATTAATGGGTGGAAGTCCTGCTCTGTCCAATGCAAAGGCAGTAAACCAGAACGGGCGCGTGCTGTAACAGAGTTAGCTCCCTTCGAAGGCTTTGCAACTTTCCTTGGCAGATAGATTGATGATTCCTGGTATCAAAATGATGATGAGCAGCTTCAACCAACTACCGAGTGCAGTATTTTCAATTTATAAAGTTTTGTGTTGAAGAGACCGATTACCCAGGGAACTGAGAGCAATTCTTCCCTCTGCAAGGAAACTGGCCCAGATCAGACCTTTTCCCATATTGGAGTTTCCCCAGGACACACACACATCTCCAGGCCTGATCCGGGAGATGGAGCCTCATGCTCGCTCAGTGTCGTGGTGACCTGCTGTTCAGGAAGGGAAGTGATTTCCAGACAGGGTTAAAAGTCAGTTAGCAAAGACGCTGGGATAAGCCGTAAGGCCCAGGAAGAGTCTCAGCGAGGATGACAGAAAGGGAGGCAGGAAGCACCCCATTCCTCAAGGGGCCGAGGCAGTCCGAGCCCGGCTCAGGCGAGACCCCCCATCTCAGTGTCTTTCATGGGACACACACGTCGATTTTGAGGGAAAGGGGTTGATGTTAAAGAAATGGAAACAAATCAGATGCATGAGCTCAGTTTCAGGGCAGGGATTAAACCGCAGAGGTCCTGGGAGGACCTGTGCCACCAGCGGGAGCACCGTTGTCTGTGACGCTAAATTCCTGTTTCCTTGGCTTTTTCCGGTTCTGTTGAAGGACAAACCCCACGTGCTCACACAGTTCTCTGTCGTTTAGAATCACCGGTGGACACTCCCTGCCCCGAGCACAGGGTTCTGGTTGTGCTCCGAGGAAGGACTTTCAGGTGTCGGTTCCCTGAGGTGTTTCAACAAGGTGGCAGCACCCTCCTCTGATGCCGAGGAAGTCGAGAACACCCCTGCCCTTGGGATCCTCGGTCAGGGTTGCTCACATGCAGCCCAGAGCAGGCCTGCACCAGAGAGTCCCTGGGCGTTCACAGACGCACAGCGGGCCCAAGGTCAAGGCAATTCCTCCTCCCTCCAACCAGGAGCCTGGCGACTCTCTCAAGGAGTCCTGCCCCTCCCTGGCCTGGGCCCAGCAGGGCTCCATCACTGCGCCTCCCGGAGGCAGGCAGAAGCCACTGCCAGCATCTGAAGACCAGTGCTTTTCCTTCTCCTTCTGTGGTGCTGGGGA